AGTTGGTGCGTCTTATCGAGCGAATGCAGAGCGCCGCGAAGTCCAGTCACGGCCGTATGAGAGGCGTAAGAGCTCCGGAGCTAGGCCGAAGCCGCGGCCATATTTGTACACTCGGCGCTGCGCGCTGACGTCATCGCCCATCTCTGCCATAGCGCAGTCGTAACGAAAACAGGGGAAAAACTACATTTCCCACAATGCCTTTGGCTTCCGCATCCATACTCACGAGCGAAATACAGAGCTCAGCTGCGGTTTCTCACACACTGAACATAATAGTCTCGCATTTGAGTGATCTCTTACGCTACAAACCCGATTTCTCACGCTAAAATACATTTCAAGATGTGAAATGGGCACAGCTAATATTTTATCTGCGATCTGTTTCTTGAGCCTGATGTGATGCTTGTGCCGGATAGCCAGTGGAAAAAGAAGGAGCTTCGAGACGAGCACATCATCCCAAACTCAAACCTTTATTTTTAGCCTCCTTCAGCGTCAAAAAACGAAAGTAAACAATAAACAGCAGGGTAGTGGTCCCAGGGGAAGAGCAGCGCACACACTCGTCTCTCCCTCTCCGTCTCTCCCTGTCAGTCTCTCCCTCTCCTCTCACACACTGAGGGTTTGGGGCGGAGCTCTTAAAGGGCAACATACATACAAATACAATGTGGTACATAGACCTAGCAGTGGACGTTACACTTACATTAAGGAGTAGTTACATTTATTTTACATTAAAACAATTATTAATTAATTATTAAATAATTATTATTTTACATCTGAGGGTGCCCAGATTCTTTTAAAGGTTTAAAGGGGGGGCTCGACCAAAAAAGTTTGAGAACCACTGTATTATTACTAATGTATTATTACTAATCTTACTAGCTATTATTAGTAATGTAGTGACAATGTTACTAGCTATTATTAGTAATGTAGTGACAATGTTACTGGCTATTACGGTATTACTAATGTGGGGGCAATGTTGCACTGGAACAGTGATGGTGATAACGAATGGTGGACTTTAGAGTGATGAGTGGGGGCAAAGAAAAACATTACAGCCTTTTTTTGTTACTTTTACTGTTTACTGTCTGTTCATGTTACATGTTTGGCTGTTAACTTTTACACAGTTGATATAATTTTTTTCTAGATCTTCCTCTTTTAAAATTGGGTGCGTCTTATGTGCCGGTGCGTCTTATGAGCCGAAAAATACGGTAATTAATTTGTACTGTAAGTAACTGTAGTTAGTTTAATATTTTCAGTAACTAGCACAACATTGTATTTTGTAGAAGAATGCAAGATGCAGTCAGGGTTTGTTTAAGCTTTGTGAATGAATCTCTTTACATCTGGGTTGTTTTTGCAATGATTATAACTTGAAGAATGTGGTCTTTATGTTTCATTTATGTGTGTGTAATTCCTCCACTTCCTCTTGTTGACTGTTTAATTGCCTTCTGTATATTAAGAGCTCATGCAGCAGGGATCTGAAAAAGGTTGTCACCTTACTAATGGCTGAAGGTACCCTTGGGCTCCTGGACTGTAATGGCTTTAGTGAGCTGCATCTGTGATGTTTGATTTTAATTACTCACTCAGGTGAGTGGCAAATGAACATCCATGATAGAGTACCCTTCATAACTCAAACAGATGAGCACTTCCCATCATCTCTTTCCATCCTCTGCCCTTTGCCAGTCTCAGTGCTACTGGCCTTGCATGCAGAATGAGATGGATTATCCGTCTAAGTTTTCCATCTAAGTTTTCTCTTATCATGCCTTCGACATGAAAATGAGTGTAAATAAATATTATAGAAACTAAACTGTTTTATTAACGACTTAGACGATGCGTGCAAGGCATTCATCGAAAGTCGAAAATTTGACATAAACAGGAAGTTGTTAATAACGCAGCCATACAATGGCTGATTGGGTTCAAGTTTGCTAGGCGTGTTAAGAGTCCATGTCTGACCATAAAGCGCACAATATCAATTCGTTCAGTTACAGTGCCACCTGGTGGCAATATGGGATATCTAATTTCTGCCATTTTATACTGCTATTTTAGGCTGTGTTTGAAGGACATATTTGGAAATTTGCACACTTATGTAATGGATCAAGGCCAATAAAAAAGTCAATTGGAGCGAGTTTCCAAAACCAACAGGAAATGAATTATTTTTTAAAAACTTTCTAAAAATGCCACTTTTTGCACATCTCATACTTCAACGAACTCCTCCTAGAGATTTTATCTGTTTACCTCAAAACTCCATCAGTCTTATCTTAAGGTTTGTGGGATGTTACATTCATTGCAAAGCTTTTTTGACTTGGCTGTCGAAATTCGACATTTTGCAATAAAGAGGAAGTTGTCATAACTCAGCCAGGCAATGTCTAATCAGTTCCAAATTTACAAACTATGCTAATTGGCCATGTCTCAAAACATCTACAACACACGCGCTCAGTTATAGCACCACCTATTGGTTACAAGTGGAACAGCATTTAAAATGGATAAGGTACTTATTTTTACCACTTTTGACATGCTATACGAATATTGGCCAGTCCCGGAAAATATTTGGACTCATAAATATTTAGACTCGTTACCACTGCTTGGGGGTCATGATGTTTTGAGATGTGGTTGTACTTTGTTAAGTTGCCTGTTACGTTCGATTAATTTTAACAGTTCTCGCTTGAATACTTCCTCTAAATAAGAATTGGTCGTAGAGCATATCGCGATGAACTGACAACCAAGAGGCCCTTGTTCGCTGCTTGTAGCTTTAATTTGATTTTTCTTTTCTAAACAGGGTCACCTGCATAGCCTTTTGTGTCCTTTTGTATTAGCTCATAACAAGCTGATCAGTCCACCCTAAAAATCAGTCCTTTATCAGTCAATATCCTCCTTTGTTAAAGAGATTTCTTCATCATGAAGCTTTGATGGCAACAAGAATGGTTCCTACAAAGCTTGACACTCATCTTTCACCTAGCCACTGTTTCATTAGCTGATAACGCCATTTGTAGTGCTATAATCAGTCTAGCCAGTTGGAGCACTACCAAGTCCATTTCTCTGCAGCTTTAAAATACAGTACCTTGTTCTTTTGTTTCCGTCTCAACCTTTCTGCTCCCTGCCTGCTTCAATCTTGCATCTCATCTCTTTATCTCATTCAATTTCTTCTCTTTTTCCTTCTTTTCACCTTCATCTTTCATCTCCCTCTCTGGAAATCCACAATTACAAGAAAAACTTGCGTCATTCGACCATGACAAATGTGAATGGAAAAAATGCAAGCCCTCCTGCAGTTGTATGTGTGTGCTTTAGTAGCTGCCCATGCATCACCGTCCCCCCCTCACGACTCTCTGTGAGTGGGAGATCCCAGGAGCGGGAAGGCCGTTTAAATGAAACTGGTGAGCTGCCCAGTGCTTCTCTGCAGCAGAAGCAGCAGCTGTGCTTAGCTCAGGGAAGTGTTTACCGTGAGCTTCTGTAGCAAGCTTGCTGTGAGCATGTGGAAGCGGGCAAGTTATTCTGAGCACATCCCTCAGCCTTTCTGCAGTGTGCCGCTCAGGTGTGTATCTGCTCTGATTCTCAGTTCTCAAACACAAACCTGACTTTGCATGCTCTTGTATTTGTCAAAGTTGATGATAATCTTGTCATCGATGATGCATCTCTCATTTGATTGTGGGGTGTAGTTGATGGACTGAATGCTGGCACGAATCAAGAGTATGCTTTCGGAAACCTCCTGTGGTTTATTGCGCTCCCTGCTTGTAATTGCTTTGATCATTTGAATTATGCAAGTGCAATATTCAAGGGTCATTTGCAGAACGATCTGTGTGGGATATGTACAGGCTTCTGATTAATTCATACAGTCATGAGATACTCTTGGGACAGGGTTCAAGCTAGTGTCTCAACTCACATCTGTGCTACTGTATCTACTAGGGCTGTGTGATTTTGGGAAAATATGTAATTGCAAATTTTCTGATACAAATCAAAAAAATGCAGCCCATTGGGAATTAACCCTTGTGTGTTGTTAGAGATGTCTTCAGCTCCTTTACGGTCATTGTTAAATCTGAATAAACCCACAACTTTTTATTTGTTTCATCAAACGGAATGATTTCATTAAAACATTAAGATGTAATAATAAATTATATATACAAATGTATATATACACACTATATATATATATATATATATATATATATATATATATATATATATATATATATATATAGTGTGTATATATACATTTGTATATATAATTTATTATTACATCTTAATGTTTTAATGAAATCATTTTTTCCAATCCTCACTTTTTCACGTTTCAGATCTGCCCTTCTAAAAACATACAAATTCAATTGCATGTAATAATCTGTAGTTTTCACGCTGGCTTAACCCTATAGTTATTATCTTCACACTGCTTGCACCCCGGACTATTCTATTTGCTCTGTTAACTAATGATGCACAGGTTGAATTAACACAGAGTTGGAGATGGTTCTTTAGGGAATCCCATCGACTCAATCACTGCAGTTTTCGAATATAAAATAATGTGAGGACTTTTGCTAATGCTTCTAGAAGATCCTGTTTTAACCCTTAGTAGTCCAGGGCCCCTTTTTTTTACAACTTTTGATTTTCCTCTTACAAATTACCTTTAAAACAATTTTTGTGGCAAACAAACCTGAAATCGTAAAAAAAATGTAAATGAGAGTATTACATTTTGTATTTTTTTTCACTGAGAAAATCTCCTAAATTGAGAAAAAAAACATTAATGAATCCCCCCAAACAGCAAAGACAACGTCACAACTTGGTGAAGACTGTATCAAAAACCTCTCCTAAACATTTTACATTGTCCTAAGCACAAGCCATATCACAGGTATTGTTCTTCCAAGGGCTATCCCTCCTTTTCACTGCATTTTCACACATTTTAATTATAATCCATTAGCAAATTGTGTCATAACTCTTGTAATGTTTAACACCAAAATATATCAAAACTAATAACCTTTTTAATTTACATTTATGCATGTCGCAGATGCTTTTATCCAATTTAAGGAATTAACACATTTCCCTGGGTTTTGAGCGCACAACCTTTGCGTTAGTAGCGCAATGCTCTACTGACTGAGCCACAGGAAAGCCTACATGTTATATTTGGTATAAAAATGCAACAATATCTGGTTTGCCCCATTCCTGCTTATTTCAAAACAGCTACACCATTGTTTGAGAGATAGACATGTATCATTAACTCTGGACCACAAGCTGATTTCAGCGTTTATTGTGTTGAGAAATAATTGACTAGTATTAATATTTTAGATCAGGGTTTACCAAAGTCCAGACTCATGTCTGGACCCAGACCAGCAGCTAGGTCAGTCCTGACCCAACTGAGTTGAGTCTGCAACCTTAAAAATGGAGGCATAAGAATATTTTAAGCTATTGTACTCCTTTTATGAGAAAAAAAGGTTTGTTTAGCACTAAACCTAGCTGTAATGATAAGCGAGCTAACTAGTTTGCAATACAATCAATGGTACAGACCATCAAGTATCACAAGAATGTTTCTATCAAAGCAAAGGAATTCATTTATTTTTCTTTTTTCCTCGGTTGTGTCTGATTTGCAGAGATTGTGGCACTTCTGAAGAGCTAGAATATTAAAGGGTGCACAGTCTTTGAGCAGAAATATGAGCAAAGAGTTGAGGAGAACAAAAGTCCAGATTTTAAAAATTGATACGAGTCATATGTCATGAATAAAATGTTCATGAAGTCAATAGCGGTTCGTGAATGCCATGTATTTCACACTGGATTTGTAAACATTTGAATGTTGACATGCAATTGATGTCAAATTGCGACCGTTTTAATTACAAATCAATTAAATGGAACACATTTTAAGACTTATCATCCAACCCATGAACCTGAGTCGCTAAAATCTTTGAATGTTTCAATTTAATTGGGTTTAAGTTAAAGCTGAAAGCAGCGATCAAAGGACTTTTGCACCATTGATGCCATCTCCGCCAGGTGGCCATTTTGCTGCACTCTGATCAAACCTAATTTGGTAGCATTCAACTAGAATTGTCACAATAACTAAAACATAAATCAAATTAAGTAATCTAAACCACATCGTAAAGTATCATGACCCCCAGGTGGTGTATTGAATATTTTTCTGTGATTGCTTTGGCCAATATTCAATATTTTTACCAGTTTTGTTATAAATGTAAAATTCAATGAATTCAAATACAATAATTCTCTGAGCAATTACAATAGGGTATACACATCATTGGGGCACAGTTTTAGCGTAATCAACAATGCCCATAGTACAGTTACATCCGGTATAGCCACTAGATAGTGGACTTTCAAACCAAACATTCCACTTGCTGACCTTTCTTATCCCTGAAGCCCGTGCCCTTAAATGATCTGGCACAGTGTGTTCACAAGGCCAACACACAGCTAGCTCTATGTGTTCATAGCAGACTGGTAGTTTTATAACTGGATTTGTTTGCCTGGCACCCGTGTTGTGTCTGCGTAAAAGTATTGACTCAGAGGTGACAGAAGGACAAAAGCCAGCAGCTGGAAAAAATTGGATTGTACCAAGTTCATTGTTTTGTAAGTCCTTTAGGATTTGTTTCAACTTTTTATAACCTCCCCCTTTCCCTCTGCATTCAACACTTTCAATCTTTTACAATGAAAACATGGATTGTTGATAAAAAAGACTTGAAATTCTTATAAGCTACATTACCGTGTCACAATGCACCAAAGGGAAATATGTGTGACATATGTAAAATTTGTTGTTTTCCTATATTATTTGTACATATATGCTCAAATCACATATATTGAGAACATATATCAAAACCAATTTTTAAAACATTATATTGAATTTCTTTTTCTAAAACGCCATAACTCCATTTTGATGGATTTAAAGATGTGTTCTTTGGCATGAAAGTTTGAGGAAAATCATAAACATAAACATTTCAAATCTAGATTTTAATTTTAATTTATTAAATTTATTCCCAAATGTGGTAACTCCATGGCACATACTTTTATTTATTTATTTTTTTTTAACAAAACTATGAATCCAAGACATCAATATACATGTTTCAAAATACAATAACAAACATTGATTCTGAATCAAGTGGCCTGTGTCAGAACCCACACTCTTCAAAATCACTGTGATATTGAACTCACTTCTTTATAGTTATTCTCTGACCGGTCATGTGAGTCCCTGTTCGCAGTCTCTCCTTTCATCTGCCAGATGACTTTTTAACAATTCCAATGTACTTAATTGACAAAAATGTGCTTCTGATTTGGCACTAGCTTTTGTGTTAATTATGTTTTATCGTGTTTTGGGACCAAACTCTTTATTTCATGTTTTAATATATGGTTAAAAGGGCAAAACAGTCTAAATGTAGGACAAACAATGTATACAAATATATTTTTGTTGTGTTAAGACTGTAATGACATTTCAGCTACATTCATCTAGAAAATGCATTAAGACAATACAGAAAACCTTGGAAAAAAGAACTGATTGAAAGACCTTTTCCACTAACTTCATACAAGAAAAATTGACCTTGTGCATGTTTCAGGAAAACATGTAGACATCACATCTCTCCATCTCCTCTCACTTATTTCCCAAAGTTAAATTCCAAGTGATTTCACATAGCAGTTTTTTTTCTTTATGATAGAAGGCATCATATATGAACCAAACTGATATGTGCTATATAGGAAACATATCTTGTACAGTGTTTCCCCTAGGATCATGGCCTTGGGGGAGGGGGGCGGGGCGGTGTTATGGGTGGTGCGGCAAAACACTTACACAAACACTTAATAGTGTTTATATGTTTCTTTTAATTGCAGTATACCAATATATTATAATGTCTGAACAATTACTGTACAATAACTAAACAACTGTACACTGAACTAAACACTAAACATCAGATTTATTTTAATATGTTAATTATTCACAAAGTGAGCAGCTTTTGTCACTGCAGTGCATCTTTATGGGCTTCTGAAAGAACATTTCCAGAGCATCTTGGTATGGATAGTCTGAAACTTCTGGCCCATTTATTGAGATCCGCATGCAGGCTGCAAGATGGTCCCCTTGCAGCCTATTGCGAATGTCTGTTTTGACCTGTAAATACATTAACTGTTAGGCTTTAAAAGTGATAACTGATAGTAACAACAGTAAAAATCAACTTAACATAGTGATAGTTTAAAGCAGGAAATGCCATTGTATAACTAACTAGCTAGCTATTAATTAAGCAATTTATTTATCAATTCGTTCATTCATGCTTGTGTGTATTTACTTACTTACCAAGATCAGTCTTGTACAGCCAGGGGGAGTATTTCCCCTCTGACAGCCAAGCTGGGTCAAAACCTGTCGTTCTGTGGTGGCTAGACTTTTGCTGCTTGTCAGGGGCAAGACATGCAGCACTTGGGCTCTTTTCTGTACTTTGATTCGGAGTAGGAAAGCTGGCTGCTGCTCGCAGCAGAACACGTGTTGTCCTCGTCACCACCTTGGGAGCGTTTAAAAAACGCGGATATTTTTGCCTGCTGCGACATACTCTCCGACGCGCGGTCTCTGTCCGCTGATGGGTGTGTGTGTGCGCGCGCATCGGAGCGGAACTCCGCGCATCGGGGCGGAACTCTGACGTGCGCGATACGGAGAACATTAGTAAACGCGCAAACGTTGAGACAGAAATTACATGCCATCGTATAAATAACATAATGCTATTTAGTTTAATAAAAGAAAAAAAGCAAAGACCTGTTATATATAAATTACTTCTGTCGTTTTTCGACGAAAATAAAATAAAATTAACTTGACCTTCAAGGGGGGCGGGGGGTGCCATTGGGGGGGCGGGGCGCCCCCCTAATATAATGGTAAGGGAAACACTGTTGTATGTACATATAGGGCTTATATGTTGATGTAAAGAAGCGATGCAGGAGACTTATATATACTGCATGTACGTTTCTTATATGCACATATATCCTCATATGGGCTCTTTCCTGTGTTCACTTGACCATTAGTGCATAGATAATTGATGTATTTAGCAGTTTTCAGCACCTACCCTCATTAGATTAAATGTGTCTTGTGGCTTCTGTGGCTTTTGTTTGAGTTGATCAACTTTTTCCTGCCACCTTCAACCCGTCTCACTGATATTTTTGTCTATTGCTAGCTCCTACATTTAGTGTAGGAATGGTGTTGAAGAAACACGACACGTTATTGCTTTTCTCTTTCATATGCTTCTGTTTTAATGTTTACACACTTAAAACTTTTTTATTTGCTTCATTATTTTTACTATCCCTTAATGCGTCACAATCTTTGTGTTAAAACAACCATCAAGCCACTATGTTAGCTTTAGCGGTTAGCGCAGACATTCCAGGGTTTCGCTGAGGTGAGCCGGACACTATCTGGTTTGAACTGGAGCCCAGGTTAATGACGAGATGGAGACGTGTTTAAATGTTGTACTTTAATTTTTTATTTGTAATTCAATGATGCCATCTGTAACCCTGTGCCAATACAGCGGCTGTTTTGAGTAGGAATGACACAACCTAGGTATTGTTAAATTTGGATTTCAAATATACTGTGTAGGTTATTATTTGTTATAGTTTTGGTTTTAAATTAACAATACAAGACTTATTTCATAATTTGCAAGATAATTCAAATGCACAACCGTCTTTCAATTTAATTTTACAGATCCCAAATTGGTGCCATCTAGTAATGTAAAGAAGGAATAACTCCTGGAAGCACAAGATCTGTGATATGGCTTGTGTTTTTCAAAGTTCATTGGAACAAAAAGTGCTTGGAAGAGTGCATGAGGTTTAGGAGAGCTGTTTACACATTGTTTTAGTCATGTCAGCCTTTTTGGGGGGGATTTATTCATTTTTGTTTGTCTCAACACTTTGTTATAAAACAAGAATACTGTTCATCACCAATCTTTAAGATTTTGCAAAAAGGAACAAAAAGACAGAATGTAATACTCAGAATTTTTTGTACAGTTTCAGGATTGTTGTGGAATTTTTGTGTAATGTAATGAAAAAATATTAGTAGTAATAAAATCGCAACTAAATTTAGTTTTCATAAACTTTTTTTTTTTTTTCAATGTACTCTTCCAAGGAGTGTTTTTGCTGATGGCGACAATAACGAAAAT